TGTAACACTCCAAAGAGAAAGGACAAATTGAAATCGCATCATATGACCCCTTTAAAAGCTTATTCGGCTTGCCATACTCAGTATCAGATCTAACAAAATAGTGTTCTGATATTGATATATGATATATCTGATATAGTGGTATCCACTTCAAAGATTTCTGAAAATTCAGAATAGGAATAGAAGTTACCATCCTTTTTTAACAAATCTAAAACAAAAATTACACCTTTGTCAACCCAGTTTTTAATAAAGACAGATTGTTTTCTACGCAGCACATTCTGATTAAGAATTGATTAGTTCATCTCTCGAGTTGCGCATGCGCGACTGAACGAATCACTCCCCGAGACGACTCGTTCTTCCCGAGTCACATTAAAGATTCGTTCAAAATGAAGGAATCGTTCAAGAACGACCCAGCACTACTCCCCATACGTGGCTACCTATTGAACACTGCGCAGTCGGCAGCGGCTGGATTCGTTCAAAATGAACGAATCGTTCAAGAACGACCCAGCACTACTCCCCATACGTGGCTACCTATTGAACACTGCGCAGTCGGCAGCGGCTATTGACGTTCTTGAACACGCTGGGAAAGATGTGCGTTGTAGTCTTTATGATAATAACCCAACAATCCGCATGGATTTAACAATCTCCAGCGTGACTTCTGTAAGGACACACTCTCCTGCTGTGGGCACACACCACACACGTTTGTGTCTCGCTCGATGTGGACAGGTTTTACACAAGTGAGGACCCAAAGGCTGCTCGAGACGAGGGAAAGTACATGTTAGCCAGCTAACAGCTGCTGTCACTGTGAAAGTGACAGTAAAACTTACCTAACAAGCGACTTAAACGTCCTGCGAGGCTCAAAATCGCCGTTCCTGTGACTCTGGATCATCACTTCGCATAAAAGGTAAAGAAATCGTGCTGTTTTGTGCGCTTAGCATCTGCTGTTTATGTTAGCTTGAGGGCAGAGAGCTCCCTAAAATCTGCCTGAAATACTGCTCTTTCCTCATATAACGTACTAATGTAAGTTTTATTAGTTTAAAAAAAAAAAAAAAACGTTTAATGACATGTCAAAGCTTTGTTTGATTAACAATTAACAGTATTTCTGATGAAACTTGTAGCTTTTTTGTAACTAATGGTCAAGTGTTGATTATCGAACACTAATCTGTATTAGTGTTTATCATGTGGCTCGGATTATAATTATATTAGTTTATGAAGTGACACTTTATAAGAAGGTTAATGCATTAAATAACATTAAAAATGAGAAATACATTTGTAACTAATGGTAAACAAATGGAACCTTATTAAATGTTACCGTTAATAATTCTTGTTTCATAGACCTAATGTCATCAGGGTGTCCGCGGGTCCTTAAAAAGTCTTAAAATGTCTTAAATTCGGATTCGATGGGTCTTAATTATCTTTGGTCTCATTACCGCTAAAATATCATCAGTCTGACGGACCTAATGACTTACAATCATTGGACAGACCGAAGATTTTGTCTCGAGACTTCAGAACAAATGAGCGTGACGCACATAAACTCAGAAGAAACACACTGAGGTAAAAATTCAAAATGTTTAGTTTATTCATAACATGATATAGTTAAATAACACCATGACAAGTGAGCTATTTTGCTAAATATTTTCACGACGCAAAAAAACATTAAAACACCTACAGAGTGCACGCATTACGTGAAGTCTAGTGCGCATGCGCATTTAGAGTGCGCTCTGCCTGATCACTGCATGATTCAGTCTATTAAAATACATTCAGAATGATCACAAATTCAAGACATGGGGGCAGAAAATGTGTATATTTATACTCAAGTTTACACGGAAGAGTGCCTTTTTTTCTCCAAAAATGACCATATACAAATGTGATATTGATTTTTTACAACAGTTCAATAAACTAGAAGTTTTATTAAGAGACTTACGTTTTAGACACCATATTGCCTGTTTTTGCACTATTTCGCCAACAAAAATAATTCCAAACAAAGCCACAGCGCTGCTTTGCGTCTCTGAGCAACATGACAGTGTTTCGTTCCCGAATGAATCACTCGTTTAAATGATTTGTATGTAATAAAATGTGTATTTCCATTACAGGTTTAGGTCTTAAATTTCATATAAGGTGGTATTAAAAAGGTCTTAAAAAGTCTTAAATTGAACTTGTTCATGTCTGCAGAAACCCTGGTCATACATTTTCATTATTCAAAGAGTTAGAGATAAAATACCGATTATTATTATTTTTTTCAATTTTGTTGTCGTCGTGTAGTCTTGTATTAACATATATAAACAGGCTTGTGATGTAAAAAATGGTGTAAATATTGATTTATTTAGTTGTTTTTTTTCCTGGAAGGGAGGCTTTAATTAAATTCAAAATAATTAAAATGTATCAGTAACATTCACAAGGTGTTTAGCGGGTTAATTATGCTTACTTGTTAGGACAGTCAAGTTTATTTTATGAGACTGTTATTAACATTTTGTTAACAGTTTGTTAGCAAAAACTACTTAAAGGACTATCTTTTGGTCTTGATAATACCATGGTATTTTTTAAAGTACCTTAAAATACCATTCATGCAGTTGTCTTTCAAATATGCTGCAAAACTGCCCTTTTATTTGGTCATATTTGTTTCACTATTTGATGTCTAAAGTGGTTGAAGGTTTGCTCTGGTGGGTCAGAAAGCTGCTTGCATGACACATGCGTGTCAGTTTTACATGCATGTTTGTACATGCCGTCTCGTTTGCTCCCCTCTTCCAGAGAAGGAATGGCGTTGAGCGCTAACCTGTGTCGTGTGACTCTGGGGGTCGAGGGCATGACCTGCGGCTCCTGTGTCCAGTCCATTGAGGGCCGGATTGGGGGTCTACAAGGTGTCATTCATATACAGGTGAGAGCTACATTAATGCTAATCACACCAAATAAACATAAAGCCATTATAAATGAGTCAACGTGATGATTACCTCTGTTGTTACCTTTTAAATTAATCTTTTTATGAATGCAATTATTGCAATTGTAGCCATGCATGCTTGGCCAGTTAACAAAAGTGTTACTACTTCCTTGTGAGGGTTTCAAAGTATAGGCCTACATTCAGTCTATAAACATTTCTTTTTAGTGCATTTTCAGTAAACGTTTTGCAAAATATGTGTTATATGTATGTATGCATGTAAAATATGTATGTATATATGATATATATATTTGCAGTATTTAAAATTGTAATATCTTCATGCCTTATAGTTGCATATGTATGTTAAACAGGTATGTATTTAATTGTATATTAAAGGTTTGGTTTCACAACGAAACATTTAATATACAATTTTAATAGACCATAATGTATCCAAGTTTATTGCTAGACTATATATCTCTCTGAGTTTATTACTGGTCTGTGTATATGCTTCGTTTCATTATTATTAACACATTTCTTATGTGCTATATAATCTTATGGAGCTTCCCACAATGATAATGAGTGTAAATTTCATCCTTTATCCCTAAACAAACACATATAAACCTAGCTGAGCCACAGATTAAATTTCCAGGTGTCCTTTTTCCATGAATCATTGTATGTGACTAGACTCTTGGCTCTCTGGGTGGCTGACAAAGCAATCTGACAGAAATATATGGTGGTAATAATATTTGCCAGAGCCTTCCCTCCAGCAACAGTCGCGTAATTGAAGAAAGCCACTCGTATGTTCAACTTAGAGACAAAACCTAATTGTTGCTAATTCGTCCTGCCCTTTCCCTTAAAACACAGTTACCCTGCAGACATGGGTCAAATGAGCGGATAATTTAATAGTGTGTTTGATGCTGTTTTAACCTTTAAAAGGACGTCTGGTGGTATTACTATTGACCAGTACTGTCGAATGCCAAATACTGTAAATGTCTTTGTTAAACACAGAAACAAACCGTATGCTTCTGTCTAAGAGAGCAGTCAATGCACTGATCACAAAGAAGCAGCTCGGTCTAGAATTGTGCTTATTGTGCGGAAACAAACTTCCTGTTGTCTCCTCATGAGGATTTGAGGGTTTAAGGGTCATATGATGACACGAGTGAATCACTGCGTGAGCTGCCTGAGGAATCACACGCACGTGCCATAGTTTAAAGCTCAGATGCAAATGTAATGATTAGCAAAACACATGCTTAAAGAAATTAAATAATACCCACACTACCATTCAAAAGTTTGTGATCAGATTTTAACCTTGTGCGGTCTTCGGTCACGGAAGAATTTTTAAAAATCGTAGCTTCACCAGAATGGTGCGAACCTTGGTGACTCTTATGGCACTTGGTATTTGAACACACAAAAAAAATGAGGGCATGATTCGAAAAAGCTAAGTGGTCGTAAAAAAAAAATGACCGACCATAGCAAATGAATGGGAAATGGGGAAAAAATACAGAACATTTTTGTGTACAATCTACAAATCCCCCACAATGCAGAAAAAAAATGCACAGCAGTGTCACACTCACACTCAATCACACACACACACACACACACACTCAAATACACACACACTCAAACACTCACACACACACAAACTCAAACACACACACACTCAAACACTCACACACTCAAACACACACACATACTCACTCTCACTCACACACACACACTCACGCTCAATCACACACACACTCAAATACACACACTCACACTCAATCACACACACTCACTCACTCACTCACTCACTCACTCACTCACTCACTCACTCACACACACACACACACACTCAAACACTCACACTCACACTCAATCACACACACACACACACACACACTCAAATACACACACACTCAAACACTCACACACACACAAACTCAAACACACACACACTCAAACACTCACACACTCAACACACGCACACACACACACACACACACACACACTCTCACACACACACACACATACACACTGACTCTCACACACACACACACACACACACACACACACTCACTCTCACTCACACACACACAGACCTATGAACTGGTGTGCCTGTAACACTGCAACTATGTAAAATAAAATAAATAATTCAACTACAATGCAGTAAAAAAGTGGACCGCAAGGAAGGGGTTACACTCTAAAACATCAAGAGTGTAAAACAGATACATCCACTCACAGACACACACATACAGAATTATACATACTCAAATGAATTGGTATGGCTATAACCATATAGCCAAAATGAGTCAGAAGAAGTTCAAATCAGATCAGACCCAGAAAAATTAAGCTCTGATAAAGCATTCCTGTTCATTTTTGTTAAATTTTTTATAGAATTGTAATGTTTTGTGTCACAAAATGCTGTCTGTGTTCAGGTTTGAATGTAGTAATAATAATGCAAAAACCTACACTTCAAATCAAAATTTAAAACAACAAAAAATATAAACCTTGACAAAAAGTAGTCTTTGGGAATGCCTTAATATACATTTAAATCCACAACCTAATAAAAGTAAACAATTATGTATAAAAACAACTAGGGAATTCACAAGCCTCTCTATAGAGTCCTATACAGGAATCTAGTGGTTACACCATGACATTACAGGGTTTTTTTTTTTTTTTTTTGCTCTCACCAGGAGGTGCTAATTTGCCTTCAAAAAATGGATTTTAAAGGCCTAGTCTCTATTTTAATCTGATATACTTCATTAATTGAAAAATAATTTGAAAATAAAGTACTATTTTCAATGGTAAAAATGTATCATACTTATTGCATAAATATTAATAAGTATCATAAAATTCTCTCAAAATGCAAAAGATTTTTGACCTCGAAGACCATGAGTGTGACTCCCAAATGAGGAGTGCACAAGGGTGTTTTTTAAAAGAAGTCTCTTATGCTCACCAAGGCATCATTTATTTTATCAAAAATACAGTTGAAATATTTTGAAATATTATGATTTAAAATAACAGTTTTCTATTTTAATATACTTTAAAGTAGTTTTTTATGTGATGTCAAAGCTGAATTTTCAGCATCATTGCTCCAGTCTTCAGTGTCACATGATCTTCAGAAATCATTCTAATATGCTGATTGTTATCAATGTTGAGAACAGTTTTTGCTGCCTAATATTTTTTTGGAACCTGTGATACTTTTTTCAGGAATAAAAAGTTGCAAAGAACAGCATTTATACAAAATAGAAATATTTTGTAATAAGTTTTTACTAGCCCTTACTATGACTTTTTATCAATTTAACATATCGTTGCTGAATAAAAGCACTAATTACAAAAACATAAAATAAAAGAATATATACTGACCCCAAATTTTTTAAATGTAGTGTATATTGTTACAAAATATTTCTGTTTTGAATAAATGCTGTTTGTTTGTTTTTTTACTTCATCAAAGAATCTTGAACAATTTATCACAGGTTCCAAAAAATATTAAAGGGCATTGAAAGATTATGTGTGTCTTTAGTCAGATGCATTTACATTGTGACTGCGCCTCAGATGCAGTCAACAGAAACTGTCTGTAAAGGTGTGAACCAAATGGTCCATACGTTTAGAATAACAAAAGAGGAGTGCAGTATCTATTGTTTCTAGCCCTTTTGTCTTCCGGTATAAAGTTCTGTCTCACAGGAGAAGTTAGGACTCTTACAAGGGTTAAGATATTTTGAAGAACGACAAGCTAATTTCGCTGTTGAAGACCTGCTACACAGCTACCTTCAAGAAATTATTCTAACCACATGAACTCTGGTCAAGCTTACTTATTTTATGAATTAGAGAAACCTAATACATTGGCGAGCCACCCAAACCATTGCTCAGCCAAATACAGCAAAATCTAACAACATCCCAAAAGTTTAAAACACTGATAATAAATCAGCATATTAGAATGATTTCTGAATTAGGATCATGAAAATTCAGCTTTGCATCAGAGAAATAAGTTATATTAAGTATATTCAAATAGAAAACGGTTATTTTGAATTGTAATAATATTTCACAATATTTTTCTGTATTTTCTGAGCGTACAAGATTTCTTTAAAAACCATAAAAAAATCTTACTGATCCCAAAAGAGAATTGGCAGCAAAATAAAAGAATATACATTTTCCCAATTATGAGAGAATTGTTTTGAATGTTGCAAAAAAGTAACAGCGGGTTTTATCGGTTAACATCACAGCAGAGTAATCATAAAATGTATGTCCTAAATGTATAGCCTAAAGAAAACTCATAGTCTAATTAAACTCTAATGTCAGAGGGCTGCATCACAAAAGTCAAAATATGCATTTTGATATGCATCTTCAGCTGTTATACCAGGAGTCAGTAATCTTGCTGGAAAGGTTCTCAAGAAGGTTGTTTATATTAATATGATGTTCAGCGATCTATCTAAACAAATGTGACCCTGTCTGTGAAATCCAGGCTAAAGTCTCAAAATCTAATTATGAGATAACAAGCATCAAAGTTTGATTTCAACCTTTAATTTCACTATTATTTCAATCTTTGACATGGCCTTACTCATTCAATATAAAGGTTATATTTTCACAGAATGTTCTACATCTTTATGAAGGATGATTTTATGTAGAAAACAGTAAATCACAAAAAATGACTTTAGCTGGGTTTTCACAGGCAGGGTCACAAATATCATGTGTTAGAGTACAGCTGGAATGCTGCATTAGACAGTCAGCTTCCAGAAGCGGAACTATCTGCTGTATCATGAGGTGTTGTGCAATCACAAGCATGTGCGGCATTTCTAGTTACTGGAACAATGCTGCTCTACGAGTAACCGTGGGGCTTTTATTGGGCAGTTTACTATTTTAGAAGACAGATTAGCACATTATGAGCTCTTTTTTGTTCCACAGGTGTCTCTGGAGCTGAGTAATGCAACTGTGACATATGACCACACTTGCCATAGTCCAGAATCCCTAGCAGAGGCCATTGAAGACATGGGCTTTGAGTGCAGCCTGACAAACGCCACGTCAACAGCAGTCCAAACAGAAACCAAAGTCTTCAGCACAGCTGGCTGTAGCACAGACTCTATCCAGCAGGCACGGTGCGCGCTGGCCCAAGCTAAAGGGGTGTTGGAGACGCAGGAGAGCGCTGATCACCGAGGCCTGGCTGTCACGTCTGTCCCGTCTCTGATCAGTGCGGAGCGGCTCGGGGACGTGATGAGCTGCCTGGTTCCTGATGCTCAAGAAGGGCCGAGCTCTCGCTCCTCCAGCGGAGTGGAAGCGGTGAAAATGCGCATTGAAGGAATGGTTTGCCTGTCCTGCACTACAACCATAGAGGGCAAGATTGGGAAGTTAAAAGGCGTTGAGAAGATTAAAGGTATGAAGCCTGTGTGACATTTTCCTTCGCTTCAGTAAAACAATCTCAAGTGTCGTCACATTGAACTTTAACATTTACTGGTGAATCATGTCATGCATCGTGAAGTTTATATGGTAAAATCAAGGTTAAACTCATTGACATTGTGCCATTGTACTGTAGATAAGAAATTAGATCTTACACAATCTATACATTTAGGTTAAAGGGGTCATATGATGTTGCTAAAAAGAACATTATT